AAAATGACTTAGCTGTTGAATATAAATCCAGAATAAAATATAAAGTTAAATGTTCTATTAATAAATTCACATATAAAACTATTTACTTTCTCGTATAAAAAATAAATCCAAAATTCAAACAACCCAAATCCAAATTAATGTTAAATCATTTAACAGGAAAAAATTTTAAATTAACAAAGTAAAACTTACCTCTGTTCGTCTCCTGCACTTACATCATGTAAAAGTACATAATACTTAAGAGTATTTGGTATAAACCACTTAGGGTAGGAATAATCACTGTTGTGCTGAATTCGATGCTGCTCTTGTGACAACTTTGAAAACTGTTCCACAGGTTCAGCTTCACTAGACGATGCTACCAACATACCTTGTAAACCATATTATTAAGGTAATTATCACTTATCACTCAATGATAAATATGATCCTATTAAGATAAACTTTATAGAGATATTTTCTGAGCTAAAAAAAAAATCTAAATTCATAGGTTTTCACTGCAAGCACAAAATAATTTCTCTAACACTCCAAAGTAATTCAACGTTCTAAATCTTACAGAATTTTTGTTGAGCTTTTATATCATTTACTTATTTGACCAAAAATCCATGAAAATAAAAATGGATAATATCAAAGTTGTACAACTAACAACACAATGAAGAATTCTGCTGAATTTTGCTCCTCTCCATTCCATCTCAGTGCGGTTTCACAATCTATCCTACCTCTTAACTCTTCTCTGTAACCTCATTAAGGAAACTTAAAAGCCACAATCATCAAAGGATGATAATATCCACAAAATGATTACTAAAAATGTCAAAAACTGTTTTTAAATATGAGCTTTAGGATAAGCAATTAACTTTGAGGTAATCAGTGAAAGCAGTTAACATTGACCATTCACATTATCTCTTTAAAAAGGTTTAAAACTTATTAAGCAGAAATATTCAAGCTAGGGGACTAAGGAAAATAATAACCAAGCCCTGAGTTGTCTTATTATACAATCGAAAATTAATTTATTACAGTAGTCCTGTATCTAGAATGCCATTTAACAAAACAACAAAAACTTGATGCATTCTCAATAAAAATTAATTTCTTTCTCTATATCCTCAACAATTTTGCCTTCATTTAACTATTTCTGAGATTAATAACTTCCATAATATCTGATTTTAAGAGAACATCAAGGTCAAAGGATACATGCTAAATAGTGGTTCAGAAATTCATGATCTGATGCTGGCATCGACTGAAGAAAGGTCTCTCTATAAGACTCAAACCATGGAGTAGTAGCTAAAATTAACAATATATAAAACAATATATTAATATTCCTCAGTAGAATCTGTTTATGAAGACAAAATTTCAAATCCATATTCCTAAGGTAAGAAAGATAATTTTTAATAGTTAACAGCATTTTTCCCTTGTGCTTTCAGATGTGTGTGTATATATCTGTATATATAGTGTATACAGTATACACACACATGCATACATCTTTTAAGCCATTCACAAGAATATATTCATACATGGAAGTACATATATTTACAAAAATAAAACTGAGTTATTCCCAAACTTGCACAGTTTTCCCACAACCTACTTACCTATTAATGCCCTAAATATTACCTAATATAAAGATTACTTCTTTATAACTAAAGTTTTGTGCTCCTGCCACTAATCATACTGTCACAGTAAATCCTTTTCAGAAATAACACTTCAAAACAGTGGTTCTCAACTTAGTATGATTTTGACCCCCAGGAAACATCTGGCAATGTCCGGAGATATTTTTGGTTACCAGAACTGGGGGAGGAGGGAGTGTGCTATTGGCATCTAGGGAATAATGCAAAACATCCCACGATACATAGGAGGAGACAGCCCCCCACAACAAAGAATTGTCTGGCTCAAAATGTCAATAGTGGCATGGCTGACAAATCTTACTTTGTAATTTGATTACTTGAGTATGATCTAACAAATCCTCTTTAAATGGAATTTCAAA